GTACTGTATATCTAGTTCTAATTAGTAAATGTAAAAGACTACATTCAAATTGAATTTATCATCATCATCTGGTACATTGTTTTGTCTTAGGTAGATATTATGTACGTTAATTATTGCCATGAATTTGTTATAAATTATCAGTTTTGTCTATCACTCTCCTAACATAGTGTCCAAAAATCAAAAGCCACTTTTTGAGCTCAACATGCCAAACCTGACTTTATAAGGCCCTTTTGTTGCTTGCTAAAATAACATGGCCCTTAATAGGGTATGACTACGATTATCTTATGTATTTATTGCCTTGGGAAGACATTGGATAATACAGTAAGTTGATTGTGCATCCAGAGGTGACGGAACTAGGGGATGCCGTGTTATGGAGAGTAATGTGTGACCGGTGGTCTGCATCAGTTGGTTGTTACCATGCGCCTAGTCGCCTTTCAAAAATGTAATATTGTGTGGCCATACATATCTTTGCGTGATCAAAACTATAGGATAAGAGTCCACTAGCATGGTGTTTGGGATGTTATGTGGTGCAGTAGCATTGGGGTTAAAGCAATGCAATCTATAATTATTATTTGTACATTAGTTACTGTGCACTGTGGATTAAAAATATTTTAAATATTGATTTCTATAGAGCAAAGGAGTCACTTGGACACAGAAGGATTTAAGTCTATGACAGTGGAAACAATCCTGGTGATGTCTACTGGAACAAGGTAGCTAATCAAGTTAAAAAGTGTTTTCAGAAAGGGGAATGACAACTACCTTCGTCAGAAAGAATTAGCTGGTCCGATATTGTTGATCTGTCTCTGGTCCGATATTGTTGATGAATCAACGTATGAAGATTTGTATTTAAAATTTGTTAGTAGCTCTCAATCAACAATTATGATATTGTTTTTATGGGTGAGTCAGTACAACATAGTGTATATTGCAGTTCTTTGTAATATGTAACCTAATGTTAAGCTAACTACAAGTATCTGTATTCCATGAGTCACTAGCATTGAAAGTCCAATTGCCCAGCTAATTTACTAACTTATTGAAACTTGTTAAAATTATGATTAAAATGTAATAAATCCTAATTTTAATTACAAGGAATTACAGACAAGGTGTTTTTTAGGTACATTTACCCAGAAGTGTGGTTTCCCTAACTAATGAATTTATGATTGCCTTTGCAACATCTCTAAGATATGGTGATAGCAAATGATAGTAAACAAGCTAAGAAGTAGAGTGATTAAATGATAATCTGTTAGTACTGTACAGTGTTATTAAGCTGGTTATGATCCAGAATTGTGAAATAATCTTCAAATATACTATTGATTATTGCATTCTACTAAATTTTATTGTATAGATATTACTATGAATGTTGATTTATGTTTAACGATTCAGTTTTACTTTATGCATTATAATTAAACTAGTGTGGTAACTTAGAAATAATATGTACTATTTATCTTCTCAGTAACAGCAAGCCAACTAAGTTCTCTTATTCTGATTATTCATAAACATTGTATTTCATAATTTAATATTACAGTAAGAAATACAACATCGGAATGACATACTATTACAAAATATTCTTATTGGCATAATAATATGTACCATTTCATGATTTATTATTATAGTAAGATTTCACTACATTTTGTTCTGCAGTTTTCATGATAGTTAATAAGAAAGTAAGAAAAGGTACATCAGACATCTCGTTTTTCTTAGACAAAGGTGTGTATTGTAGTTACAAATATAATTTTAAAAAAAACAGTCTAATGAAGATTCTTTAAAACATTTCTTAAACTATAGACTTTATAAACAATTTTCGTTATTTTGTTTACTTTTGTTAGCCACCAAAAATGTAGTGGGAATTTTATGCAAAAGTAATTTAGACAGTAGTTTATTGTATTTTTCTACATTATTAACGGTTGACAAGCTTATTATTTACGTCACCTGTAATTCTACGTTACGGTTGGCGACCGGAATTCATATTGACAATAATTTACCGTATTATTAAGGAATTAATTATTCACATAAGAAAGTATAATACATACTCTAAGTATTGAAATACACGCCATCGTGTTGGGATTCAATATTTCGACATTAATTATGTCATCATCAGGAATGAAAAAATTATCCATATTAGCAAGCTTATATGCACTAGTACCAAAAGTGTTTAACCAATCAAAACATTACCTCTAGTAGGTGACATAGCAGTGAAAAGATCAAAGCATTCTTACTCAATGTATCAAAGATACCTACAAAAACAAAGAAAGCTCTTTTGAAGCTCTGAGCCCATTGTTAAGCAAAGGGTGTAGTCTACGTATAGCGAACGCTTCATTAAACAATAGGATAGACCAGTTTCGGGAGCTGTCAATAATGTTAGTACTAGAAAATATTAAACCTAATTTATTACTTACATTACAGACGACATTATCATTTTCAAGTATACCCTGTAATCCTAAAAACACATCTAGATGTGTATAAGAGACAGCGTTCGGCCTGTTCTTGATTACCGTACAGTCTACCTGCTTGGTTACCCTACGAGACCAGCGATCTGTTATCTCTCGAATCTGTACAGCGCAGAATGACTAGATGCTGTATGAATGGGGATATTCCCTACCCTCGGAGATTGGCTCTTCTATGAGTATATATCGTAAAAATACACATACAGGTCAATATGTCCATTATGATAGCTTTGCTCCATGGA